CGCCCCCGTTGCAGTCAGACCAGGCGCCGCCGAGGCCGTGCTCGGGGGAGCCCAAGGTGCTGACGAGTCCCCCCGGGAGGCCGGCGAGGTCCCCGGTGCCGGCGCGCAGCCGCCGGCCGCCTCGCCGTGGACAGCACAGCAGCCGCTTGAAGGCCTTGCGGAAGTCGGGGCTGCGGCAGTAGATGATGGGGTTGAACGCGGAGTTGGCGTAGCCCAGCCAGTTGAAGAAGACGAAGAGCCAGTCGGGCACCAGGTCCCTGTTGAAGACGTTGACGATGTTGACCAGGAAGAAGGGGAGCCAACAGAGGGTGAAGACCCCCATGATGATGCCCAGAGTCTTCAGGGCTTTCTGCTCCTTCATGGCCATGATGCGGGAGGTCTTTCGCTTGCTGGCTCGGCCGTTGCCCAGGATGGGCTGGTGATGGGGGAGCGGGGGCGGCTGTGGTGGGGGCTGCTGCTCATGGCTCCCGTAGAAGCGGCCCTCGCATCTATCAATCTTCCTGATCTGCTCCTTGGCCTCCCGGTATACCCGAATGTAGACGAAGATCATTATGAGGAGGGGGATGTAGAAGGAAATGATGGACGAGGCGATGGCATAAGCCCTGTTGGTGACGAAGTCGCAGCAGCCCGGGTCCTGGTAGCACTCCAGCGCCTGGGGGTCCTCGTCCCGCCACCAGTGCATCATGATGGGCAGGAAGGAGACCAGGGCCGAGATGGCCCACACGGTGCAGATGATGCCCTTGGCGCGGCCCCTGGTCATGAGGCTCTGGTAGCGGAACGGCGAGGTGATGGCCAGGTAGCGGTCGATGGCGATGACGCACAACGTCTCGATGCTGGCCGTCACGCAGAGCACGTCCAGGGAAGTCCAGCACTCGCAGAGGAAGGAGCCCCAGAGCCAGGTGCCGCGCACGACCAGCGTGGCCCCGAAGGGCACCACCAGCAGCCCCATGATGAGGTCGGCGCAGGCCAGCGAGGTGATGAAGAGGTTGGTGAGCGTCTGCAGCCGCTGCCCGCGCCCGATGGCCGCGATCACCAGCACGTTGCCCGCCACGATGAGCAGCACCACGAGGGCCATGAGCAGGCTCATGCCCACGGCCCACTGCTG